CAAGTTATTGTAAAACAATGGTTTGTTCTGTAGACTATTGAAAGGGGCTAATAATTTTGACCTTAAAATTGACCTTAAAACTGCTTATATTCTAGCCAAAATAAAACAAATAAGACTTTCTCCAGAAGAAAAAATACTATCAGACAAACTGTGAAAATTTATTTGCTCTGTTAATCATTATTTGGGAAATATATAACAAAAAAAAATTCAAAGGGGGGCTAATAATTCTGAAATCAACTAGATATTTTTATATATAATATGAATTAAGCCAAATGTATTATAAATTCAATGTATTTCTGCCTACAATATCATGATAAGTGTTAGTTGTAAATCCATGGTAAATGTAATTGATTTGTGTACTAAAATGCCTTTTAAGTGAATCAATAGCTATGTTTCCATTTTTTTTTTTGCACATTTTAGAGATGTGCATAAAAATTGGTTTATGAAAACGGAAATTTGGAAAATGTACATAAATAAAGTTTGTGCATAACTGAGTAGGATAAACTTTTTATTCGATAAGAAAAAAATTGCACAAACTATGATGGAAACACTTTTACTGAACAAATTCCAGTATGCGCATTAAAGATCATGTGATTTTGCTATACGAGAGAGAACATGTGATGATAAAAATGTGTGTGAATGGACAAACCAGCAGGCTGAACACCTTGTAAAACATCTGAAATTTTGTTTTGGTTATTTTAAAACACCCTTTACCTTTTCAGTATTAGTGTTATTATATCATTAATGACCTTTAGAATAGTCAAGAGGCCTGACGCCTGAAGCCTTCAAACGCCACCACGTGTTCATTGCGTGTCAGCATTGTCTTCTGAGGCGCAAGTCATTTATTAAATAAGGAAAAGATTCACGCAGCTTCTCCTACCTCAATAAATTCCATTTTTACTGTAATTTTTGGCACCAGTTATTTAGGAATTGATGGTTTTGTTCTCTTTGACTGATTGGATGGAAATGCTGCTTTATTCGCTCTTCGTTTATTCGATATTCACGTTTTGTGCATAAATGTCATTTGCATCTTTAAATAGAATCACTGTGCACAATGCTTTTTTTTTACATCAGTTCTTTTAAGAATCTCTGCAATATTTCATCTTGCTTTGAACTAATTAAAAACACAGAGACATTTGTGCTGAGTATGTATAAAACTAAATCTGTGCCAAACAAAACACTTCTAGCTGAATCTTGCTGCACACTTTTTGGCCAAGTTAATAAATGGTCAGTGCAGTTTGAGATTCAAACGAATACCATGGTTTCATTAAGTTTTTTTTTTTTTTTTAGTGTTTAATGTTTCTCATACACTACAGAAATGTCCATGATTATCAGTAATTCGTTATAGCTCCAGCATGACCTCTAAAAAAAGTCACTCAGACAGGAAACATTTCACAAAATGTTTTATCACAAATAATACAGAAGCCATACGTATAGTGCCCATTACGTGCTAAAAAATTATGTGGTATACCGTCAAAATGTTCCAAAACATAAAAAAGAGAATTTATTAAACTACAATTTTGCCAATGATAATTTACTTGAAATGAATAATAGTTGTACAATCTTATGCGAGACTTTAAATAACCTCAGCATATCAAATGATCAAATGATCAAATTTTAATGAGCTGCTCAGTTTGAACCAGCATGTTTGGAGCTCAGAAATACTGCTATCGCTTTACAGTATATCTGAGTTTAAAACATGCATACAAAAAAACTTCAATTTTTGCTTGTGCATCATAAAATAGTGTAATGCTCTACATAATACAGTAAAGCTCTGTACTTTCTACCCACCAGTCAGTATATATTGTCCGTTTAGATGCTCAGCAGAAAAAATATATGAATGCTGAACTTACACTCATAGCATGAGTCTGAGATCCTTTTTTGATTGCAGCGCAGAGACTGACATTCTCCATTATTCCCAAAGCTGTGATTGTAATGATGCATAGTCACACAGATGGGAGAGAATTGGGAGGAGAAACTGCCTTTAATACATAAGCCAGAGAGACTCAAACATCTTCTCTCATCACTACTCTGAATCAAATCACTTATTGGTTTAATTCTCTCCGCTTTTATGCTAAACTGACTGCCTGAAGATTAATGACTATATGCGTTGTCATTTATGTTTCAAGAGTGATGTTCAGCAGTTTTGGAGGATGCAGCTGTTTAAATGTCTTATCTAAGGCAGAAATTTTCATTTTTTGAAGGAAAGCGATTAATCGTGATCTTGAAATATACTTTATTTTACACAGAAAACTTTTGGGGACAGTGTTTTATTTATTTGAGGATATTGCTTGTTAATATCAATATCTGATATTGTTTTTACTATTTTATGTCGGTTTTAGGGCCCAGCTGTTTCTCCTCAGCCCATCTCTCAGTCTAGAGTCCCACAGGCACAACAGCGCCCTCCTCCACAGGGTAAGGCATTACATTACTGCAATAATAAAGATAAAGCACACCAGGAATTATAACCCAGAAATCATTTACTTGTTTTTGTATCAGTCTAAATACGTATCACTTTCTTTCTTGTGTTTCCAAAAATGTTAAGATGTTATTGTAAATCTAGGAAAGTGATTTATACTGTCAAATTGCAAAAAAAACAAAAAACAAAAAAAACAATATATATCATATATGCACTACAGGAAAAGTATATAAAAGGCAATACAATAGATTTTTTTGTCCCCATAGCCTTTATATTTGCAAGCCACATGAAGGTTTGACATTATTAATTCAATATTATTTATATTTCAATAGGCATTTTTTGAGTAAATAAGGGCTATTTTACCTGTTAGAAGTAAGTAGTTTTGAAATAGCTTTTATTTGACTTGAGGCATTTTTATGTAAATTTGTTGAAATATGTGCATACGATTTGTCTGTTCAGATCAATGCAGAAAAGGAAATGACAGATGGGCTTATTGAAAATGCTAATTCACTCTCTGACAGTGAAGGCTGCATATTGAAAGCCAAATGACTCCAGTTACTTTTCTCTAAACAGAGTCTTCCAATTTTCCATTTCTGACAGACTTTACCGCAGAGTGAAATACAAACGCCAAGAAGTATTATTTAACTATGATGTTACCTATGATGAACCAGATGTTGCAACTTTACCTCAGAAGTGTGATGTATTTTCATTAATTTATGACCCTCATGTTGGTTAAATCCTCAGAGACATCTTTAGAACACAAATTAAGATATTTCAGATGAAATCCGAGAGCTCTTTGAGCCTCCATGGACAGTGACGATCCAGAGATGTTCAATGTTCGAGAAAATGAGCCAAATGTGTTGAATATGTTTTTCCAAACAATTGAATGTGTTTTCAGTGGTTCAACTATAATCCTCCAAAGCTCCAAGAAACTTTTTGTGCACCAAAAATCTGTTTAAATTATTTTGTTTATCTATGTCTTCTGCATCAGATCAAAGTACACATTTACTGTAGAATTACAATATACTGCCATTAAATTCAGCAGCGCAAGAAAATATCTTAATTTGTGCTTCTTAGTTAAACTACTGTCTCAGGGGTTGAAACAACATGGTGGGTGAGAAATTAATATAAGAATTTACATTTTTGAGGATGTTAGGCATTATATCACATTATTATTCTAGAGGTGAAGCAGAGTTTAAGATTTTATCTAAAGATTACAAAAACAGGACTAACTCCATCCAAGGATTCTTTTGTTTTCATATTTATTTTAATTCAGTATCATGAATCACTTGTTCTTTTACTGCACCTGTTATCTTTTCCTATTTTTACAGTGATGGAAATAAATATTCAACATCACTCTTTTTCCTCAGAAAACGTATTTCTAAAGGGGCTGTTAGCTTGAAATTTTCACCAACTGTGTGTAACAATCAAAGAAATCCTTATATGCAAAGAAAGTCTACGGAATTACTAAACTTACTATTTTACAAATTAAGTTATGTGTAATAAAATGAAATGACTCAGGGAAAAAGTATTGAACATATGAAGAAATGGAGGTGTAGAAAGTCAGTGAAGGTTCAGACAGCAGCTGAACTCTTTCAGTAGTTTTTTAGCAACCCTCTGCCCTTTCTCATTGTAAATTAATGTTTGCTGCTCCTGTCCGTCATCTACATTAGCAGGATGATCAAGATAAAACCAGAGTGGACATTTCAGCAAGAAACTCTCAAATGGCTTCAGAGAAAGAAAGTCAAGCTGTACAACTAACTGACTTGAATTTTATATAAAGTATTAAATGTGTTTCAGTAGTTCATTACTCTCTCCTTGTGTCATTTTATTGTCATCACACATTACTAATTTTTCAGATTTTTAATTTTTTTTTTTTTTGTTATATTTTTATGTTTTTGTTGTTTGGAATTTAACCAGAATCTTGTTCATTTCCATGTTAACAGCTCCTTTAAAAATATTATTCCCTGGAAAAAAACATGACATGTTCAATCCGCTTGTTAAGTGTGACGTCACGCGAAGCAGCTTCCGGGTCTAAGTGCTCTATTCAACTGAATGTGGAGACTCATGAAATGGTAATAATACAAAGCGTTTTAATGCTTTCGAAAATCACGATCGCAGTACATATGTCCATGCCTAATATCCGATGTCCAGAAAGTGATAAATTTTTTTATAAATTGTAAATTTTTTGGTATTTGTTATGCAGCAAGCCCAGAGATTGTTGTGTACACTTTGGTTTTATATAAAAGTAACTTTAATGTGTGATAGGAATAAAACGTGGTCATATACGAATGATTTCTCCACTCAATGAATGGCGGCTTGGACCCGGAAACAGTATTACATACGTCACAAACACGTCACCACTTAACAAGCGGATACTTGCTACCCCCACTCTTTATTCTCTGCTGAATTGCAGAAGTCATTTGTAATATTATAAATGTCCTTATTTATCGTATATTTGACGAAAGCTGTTTACTTCACCAGCAAAATGAAGCAGATATTCCAACTATATTTTGCCCTGTAAGAATGAGCTCTTGTTTTAGGAGGCCCTCAACAAGCTGCTGCTAGCACTGCTGCTACCCGTCAAGGAGCACCACCACAGCAGCGGCCCTCTCCTCAAGGCCAGCCTCCTGCCCAATCCCAGTCTGTGACCAGCCCTATTGCTCAGAATCCACCTGCTCAACAACCGCGGCCCAATCAACCGCCCCAGCGACAGGCCAGTCAAGGTTCAGCAGCTCCACAGAGGCCTCCTGCAGCACAGATACCTGCTCAGCGTGGCTCTCCTCAGTCACAGAGGCAAGGCGGACCCCAACAAGGTGGTCCTCAAACTGGTGGTCAGAGTCCCAAACCAGCCGGTCAGCCCCAACAGAGGCCTCAGCAGCCAAGACAAGGCCAGCCAACCAGGCAGCCTACCCAGGGTGGCCCACAGCAGACCCAGGACGCCCCACAGCCAGCCCCGCAAGGCAGTCCTCGTCCTCCTACCACACAACAACCACGGCCTACTGCACCGGGACAGGGAGGCCCAGGAGGCACACGCCCTCCCTTGCAGCAGAAACCCCAACCTCCACAGAAACCCAGTCCTGATCACCCTGCCTTGAGTGGATCACCGCAGCTTAAGTAAGATGTTTTTTGTCCTCTGTGTAATCGGCTTGAAAATGATAGGTTCCACTCACTGGATGTGAAGGTTTCGATGATTCATAAGCATTTGGACATGTTTTTCTATTGATTGATGTTGTTTCGTAACCCATGCGAGTGAATACACCAGATGGTGCCCATTTTTCTCAGCTGTGCCTCAAATTGCATGACAAGATGATGGTATGATTGACAGTGGCTGTGTGAATTAGAGTAAAGCTATTAAGGTTAAATACAAACTTCAAAAATAGATGTATTCAGATTTAATTGCACTGAGCGCCTAATTTTGGGATCGGAACAACCAAAAATGTCATTTTGGGGTGGAGGAGAGATGATGTGAAATGGGACACAGAGGTCAGTTATGGCTAAATATATAGGTCTCCTCTTGTGCTAATTATTTGGATTATACCTGAACTTGGATCTCCTGACCTTGGTTAAATAAGCTTCATTTACAGTGTGGTTCACAAGCTCTCTATTTAATTTGATTTAATATTCAGTTGGTTCTAGTATCAGTTGGTAATATCCTATTTTACTCGCCTGTTTAAAGGTTAAAGCCAGTTAGACTGAAAATCTAACTCTAAAGCTGCAGCCACACTAGACTTTTCTCCCCATAGACTTCCATTCATACGCACACGAATGCAGCAGACCAAAAACGTAAGCTCATGCGACAAGTTTCGCAGTTTGCTGCATTGGATAGTTCAAGCTTGGTGAACTCTGACCTGAAATCGCATCACGTGAATGCGTGAGACCAATCAAAGATCAAAACATGACCTCTCTGTAGAGAAATTTAAAACAGACCAATCGCTCGCTTTTTTATGTCTAATCATCTTGTTTAATCTTGCCTCTTTTCGCAGCACCGTATGACAGATTTTCACACGCACAAACTCTAATGTGACCGCGGCATAAGTGAAGTTTAACAAACTGATTTCCAGAGGAGCACATGATATATATGATCGTAGCTGGTCTCCCATCCATAATCATTAACAAGCCAATCGGATTAATTCAAACTCACTCTAGCCTGTCTAGTATTTCTCCCTTATCTTGCTTTTTGAAGAATCCCCCCATCCATGCCATCTCCTCCTTTACCAGAGGGAGCTATTGAGAACTACCTGATCTTGTACTTCCTTTAGGGCTGCACGATATTGGAAAAAACTGACATTGCAATGTTTTATTTTTATGCAGTATTTATTGTGATATTCTATATAATTTCACTAGATGAAATGAATAGCTCTATTTGGAAAAAATTGACATAATTTTACATTGATTATGATGATTTTGTAGAACGGATCTGCATCAAATACAACATACCAATTAAAAAGTATTGATAAAAACAGACCAAAGATATAAATGAAAAACACCAACAGATGCTTTTTGTATCTCTCTGGAAGTCTACCAGTATTCAGGTGCACAAAATGAGTTATCAAATGTAAAATAACAGTGAAGTTTTCATTTTGTATATACATACAGTGAAATGCAAACTTTCTTAAACTTATAAACATTATAATTTCTTGTTTGTGAATGCTTTAAATGTTTACATAATCACACACCCTAAAACACAAACACCATCAACTGTGGTTCTTGGTCAACTGTAATCTTGATTCGACATTGCAGTTCCAGCGATGTGACTATTGCAGATGCGCACATTGCGATATCGATTTTTAAACAATATATTGTGCAGTCCTAACCCCTTACATGCTTATCTCAGAGCTCAGGGTTCTCTCCCGGGACAGCATGCCAAACCTGTTAATATTATATTATAAGTGAAAATTATAAAGAAAAATCTTTTGTAATATTATTAATGTACTAGCTTTCAATTTTTATCAATTTAATGCATCACAGAAGAAGAAATTAAAATTTTTTTAAGTAAAAAATTAATTTTCTTTAAAAAATCTTACCAATCCTAAACTTTTCAGTAAACAATAATTATACAGCATTAAGACTTAATAAATATTAATAATAAAAACAAATCTAGCTACACTGATTGTGCTATATGAAGTAAAAAAACAATTATGATACATTTACATCTCAATAATGTATTAGCAATGCCTGTTTTAAAGTGCAATAATAAAGCAATAAAACGGTCAAATCAATCCCAGTAAAATAACTAAAACTAATGTATAATGAATGCCAGATTAGCAGTTGGCAATGTGTCACTTTGTAAAAACCTGCATTACTTTCTTCAACTTCTTCAAATAAAGTAATTCACACAGCCATCCATCTTTTTCAAAATAGGAAACGTTCAAGCTGTAGAAATTGGATACAGCCTAATCAAATGGGACTTGGTCTGAAATAATTTGGCCATGGGTATTAAATACGAAACATCAATTGAATTGATTTACATGTCCAAAAGCTCTTGAACAGATTCTAGAAATCATACTATGGTGATCTTAATAATGATAATGACATTTGACTATAATGATGATAACAATAAATGTGGCTTATACATATAGGCAAACGTAAAATTAAAACAAAGGAGATACAGAAGTATGCACACTAGATCTGGTATTTTGCATGCCAAAGATGGCTTCCTTCAGTCCTACACCCACACCATTCATGCACTTGATTGTGGAAATTGCATTTTTTCTGAACGGAAATGTGCATTCAATCTATTTTCACCTTCAAAGCATTTGTCAGCAAGTATGAATGTGATCATCTTATTCCCACTGCTCCTCAATGAAGACTAACAGGAGAAAATGTTTCACAATACTCTAAAATTTACATCACTGAGATATGCTTACGCACTTGTTTCTTCATTTAGGAATAGTGTTCCAGAATAAATAATGACGATAAGTGCATGTATCTACATCCAGAGATGCCATTTCCCATAAGGGCTGATGTAAACATTGCACTTGAGTCATGATTGCTTCAATGATCGACACAAAAGACAGCACATGGATTTCATTCTCTCTCTTTCTCTCACAGCTTCTTTATTTTTATCTCTGCCATACCTCTATAAAGCCATCATCATCATGGGTTTGCTGCATGACTTTAATAGCCTCTTCCTCTCCTTTATTGCCACTTCTTCTCTTTGTAGCAAATCCCAGTCTCTTACCAATACATTCAACATTCCAGAAACGCCGGCCGCCCAGCACCAAAGTCCTAGTCAGGACGAAGCCAAGGCTGAGACCATCCGCAACCTTCGGAAATCCTTTGCAAGCCTCTTCTCCGTGGAATAAACACACACACACACTCACACATACACACACACACACACACACACATACACAGAGAGTCTTACTGACAAAAAACACACAAATATATTAACAAATACACAAAGAAAGGACCAATCGCACATTGCCGTGCATGTCAATTTGCAACGCAACACTGATCAAACACTGCCTGCACTGCTGAAGATTGCAATATGAAGTGAGATATCACAACATTATTGCAATAAAATCTTTTAAGACGACTTAATTCTGTAGACACATTCCCAGTTTTGGAGTCCAACTGATAGAGGGAGGTGTGAAAATGAAATAACACACACTGAACACACTCGCACACACACTTTTACACTACCTACACAGTGACTGGACACGTGCTAATACTTGCCTATTCATTCCGGTCTCCTATGATTAACTTGTCGCTGGTAATCTTAGATTCTTTTTGCAAATGAAATGTTTTTGGTGGACATTTTGTTGTAGAATCATCCCCCGCCACGCTTTCTCAGATATATAAGATATCTGAAATATGTCTGCTAACTGTCAGAAGCATGTTCTGTTACAACAAGGGGCACCATCTAATGAGTTTACCTGTCGTGTGCCACATTGTAACGTAAGCAGTTTATCGTACCCGCTTAAGATTTGGATTTTTGCAATGATTGTGACCCATTGTGTGAAAATTTGCACAAGCTTCCATCGTCAAAAACAAACCCCCGCGGCTGTAAGCTCTACTTTGAAACTGCATGTCACTTAAGGAGAACGTAGTCGCACAATGTGGGTGGTCTTGCTTTGTGTCGTGTCGTTGCGCCTAGATTAGGTAGTTGTAGTAAAAAACGTTTCATTTTCGTGAGCAAACTGTCGCTGCTTCCCCGACGTCCCTCTTCCTGACTAAATACACACCCTTTGACGTGTTGCCTTAGCCAGACAGGCAAACATAAAGAGATTGGTTTCGTGCAATCGCATATGTCTCAGGGATGTCCTGAAGAGAAAGGCGCAACTGTTTAGGCGTCATTGATCAGGTCTTCCAACCCATTACTGAAGAGAGTCATCGCCTGCGAAAGCCAGTAACGGGAGGAATCTGTCGAATGTATTCGTTTGCTACATATACATGTTTGCACACTAATACTGTAACACTTGAGAACATATGAGATGTGTGGACAGCTCAGGAAGGTTTGTTGCATTAAGAGAAGGTCTATTTTGCATGCCTGGATGAGCATGTAGGTGTTTGAAGCTGCTTGTCCATTGCGCTTGTGGCCCTATGAAACCGCAAAGCCAAACTATAAAGCCAAGGATGCAAACGTCTTCATAAAATGATCATCTTAAGTTGAGAAGATGCTCATCTTGTGTTGGGTTTTAGACTAAACCGCAGCTAGTAGTGTGATCGTAGTTACACAATGTGGTACACACTCCTGAAACTTTCGCCATACCCAAGGAGTTTAGAGCTCAATCGGCAGTGTCTTCCACAAGTGAGGATGAAACGTCCCAACACTGGTGTGTTTTAGGCAATATATTTAGTCAAGGTCATTCCAGGAGTCCCGACCCATCCCGAAACCTGCCCCGCTTCCCGCTCACCAGCCTGTTGTGTATTCACAGTGATCCTTTTGTGACAAATGGTGCGTTAATTTGTATATATATATATGTATAATGTAATGTTGTACCGTAAACTGTCTAAACCAAATAGAAGTGTTGTACAGATCTTAACTCAACAAACGATGCAAATGTCCTGTATTTGATTTTACTCCCAAAAAGGTGATTGTTGTGGATCTTGTGTGACTGGATTTTCCTCAATCAGATAAGAATTAGGTTGTGCAGTATGTCCTCTGTAAACTTAACCTAACAGGTACGTGTTCTTTATTTCATCCATTTTGTGACAATTGCAGTTGTCAATCTTCAGCGTGTCCATTGATATGATTGTAAGTGGCTTGATTGGTTCACATATGTGGTAATGTAGATGGTCCACCATGATTTTTATGTGGCTCAGGCAAACTTTCAGTGCTCTTCTATGTGGTTTATGTTTTTTAGTATAATATGTATGTTAAATGATGGCTTTAATGAATGTCTAATGAATAGCTGTTTCACTGATTTAATCAAGTTTGGAGGCAAATGAAATGTGGATGATTTATCTGAATGTTGCAGTACCTGCGGGGAACCCATGCCTGAGGTTTGTAGTTCATACTTTGATTTTTTGTGGCATTTACATTTGTGTACCTTTTTTATATACAAAGGAACAGCGTCCTTTTAATGAAAATGTGTTGAAATGAGTTATAATTTCTAAATAGGTTTATCCTGTTCTGACTGTTTGAAACTCAGTGAATTTTATTGTCTGTTTCATGCCTGCCAGTTGTATAAAGAAAGGAAGATATAAAATGAAATCACAGATCTATATATATATATAGAGAGAGAGATTAAGTCTTAAATCCTATTAAAATGAGAAATATTGTTAAACATTGTGTAGTATTACACAAACAGATGCAACTTTGATGTGATTTTCAATGTAGCTTAATAATGGTGTCAAATTACTATGCTAAAATGTGCACATAATCAATAAAGTCTATCAAATAAATATGCATCACTTTTTTGTTACAGGCTCAGTTCGGAATATTAATGAAGTTGAAAGTCAAAGTACAAAGGCAGCACATTACATTGATTGCAGTTTTAAAGGGGTGACAGTCTACAGAGTTTCATTGTGAGTCCTTTAAAAGATAAAAGACTAATGAGGATCTCTGTCTGAATATATAAATGTTAAAATTGTATATTATTGATTTCACAATTAATAATTGATATATTACGCTTCTGTTAAGCAAATAAATAATGCATGTCCATCCTTTTGGTGTATGCAATATTATTTTCTAGCAGTCAAATGCTAATATTTAAATGGTGTAGTGATGTTGTGAAAGGACACACAGGGCCCTATCATACACCTGGCACAATGTGGCGCAAGGCGCAACACAATTGTTGTTTGCTAGTTTCAGCTGGAAGCAAGAGTCTTTTTGACGATCTGCACCATACTGTTTAAATAGCAAATGCATTTGCGCTCATATGTGCTCCCATTGCATTCCTGGCACATTGCTATTTTGAGGAACTAAAATAGACTGCGCAATAGACCAGCTGAGGGGAGGTCTAAAGTCCAGTGCAGAGCGCGTTAGTTGTGTGCCTCGCTTACATATTGCTTAATAAACATGCAGGAAGTACAGCAATACACAAGTATCTTTACAAGTGAAAAAGAACTAATGGAATAAAATATTACAAAAAAATATTATTTTCTACATAAACATAAAAACCACTTCATTCATCTCGGGGGATGGGGGGCTTTTTCTGTTATTATATGCATATTTATATTTGTTTTATTAAACACAAGCACATTTACATTTAAATAAACACATTTGCCACCTGTCAGGTTTTAGACATTTATTTGTTTGCTGGAAATTAGAACTGAATTTAGAAATAGTTTTGAAACAAGTCTTTGCACTTAATAAACTAAATTAATTATGTAGGCTAATTGATGTTGGTGCATAGGTCTACAACATGTTTCCTTATCCACGAAAGAGAATGAAAGTGAAAATAAAGAATGAGGAGGCTCATTCTCTCATTCTCGCGCTGGAGATGCTCTGTTTGACTGTTTTCTCTCTAGTAAAGCATTCAGTTTTTCCACTTACAAAGTCTGCCATGTAAATAGCAAATGTGCCATGGAGCCATGCAATTGACTCTTAAAGGGAATTGGAGAGGAGACTCTGATTGGTTTATTCTCAAAACACACCTATAACACTATAAAAGAATAAGCTCAACCCTGTTAGACCATGCGCCGCAGCCCAGAGCGGATTTTTCCATCCTTAAAATAGCATGAGTGGATTCGGACACACCCTTGATGCTTTTCCGCCCTGTGCTTTGGAGTTTTTGCGCCTATCGTTAAAATAAAGCTCAAAGAATGAGGAGGCTCATTCTCTCATTCTTGTGCTGCAGATGTTCTGTTTAACTGTTTTCTCATTGGTGAAGGATTTAGTTTTTCCACTTACAAAGTCTGCCATGTAAAAAGCAAATGCGCCATGGCACGACGCAACTGACTCTTAAAGGGTATTGGAGATGAGACTGATTCGCATTTTTCCGTCCTTAAAATAGCAAACTGTATCTTTAGCGCCCTGTGCTTTTCACTTTGCGCCTATCGTTAAAATAGAGTCCATAAAGTGAGTCAAATTAGTAGCAGCTCTGATGGATTTGTGAGTTGATTCAGTTAAGGATTGATCAAACTGATTGAAAACAAGAAACTTACTTTACTTTTGTCTGATCCCATGATGAATTTCAATCAGGCTGCTTTACATACTGTTTGTTGTTTTTAAGAAAGATACCATGGACGTCAAACTGGTAGTTTACCAATCCAAAGGATACCTGGACCATGATCAATTTAGTCCCTCGACACATGGCACGCTGGTGTGCAATGACCTGAGTTAAATTCCCACCTCCTATGCTTATCCTTCCTCTCTCTCTGCTCTTCACACTTTCCTGTCTGTACTCTCTACTGTCCTATCAATAAAAGGTGAAAACCCCTAAAAATCATATTAAAAAAATACAGGGTAAATTCAGTAATGTTGATCCTGGACGATCATCATTATTGAAATACAGGGTAAATTATTGACGCCAATGGTGTAGTGGTTAGTGTATCAACACAAGACACTCTGATGTTCACTGTTATCTGAGTTCAATTTCCACCTTGAGGTTCTATGCTGATCCTTTCCTTCTCTCTGTTTTCCTGTCTCTACTGTCCTATCAATTAAAGATGAAAACCCCCCAAAAATAGTAGTTATAACTAAAAGTTTAATTTCAGCATTGTTGATCCTGGACCATCATAAACATTTAAATACAATGTAAATTTGCTAATGTTGATCCTGGACCATCATCATTTAAATACAGTGTAATTTGTTGATGCCATTGGTGTGATGGTTAGTGCGGTGACACATGGCACGCCAGTGTTCATGACAACTTGAGTTAAATTCCACTTTGAGGTCCAATGCTGATCCTTCCTCTGGTGCCCCACACTTTCCTGTCTGTACTATCTACTGTCTTATCAATAAAATGTTAAACGCTCAAAAATAAATAAATAAATAAAATAAAATAAATACATACAGTGTAAATTCACTAATGTTGATTCTGGACCATCATCATCTTTTAAATACAGTGTGAATTGTCAGCGTCTAGGCGTAGTGGTTAGTGCGTCGACACATGACACTGTGAGTTCAATTCCCACCACAAGGTCTTATGCCGATCCTTCCACTCTCTGTGCTCCCTACACTTAGCTGTCTGTACTCTCTACTGTCTTATGAATTAAATGTGAAAACCCCCAAAATAATAATTAATAAACCATACAGTGTGAATTTACTAATGTTGATCCTGGACCAGGTGACGCAGTGGTGCAGTAGGTAGTGCTGTCGCCTCACAGCAAGAAGGTCACTGGTTTGAGCCTTGGCTGGGTCAACTGGCGTTTCTGTGTGGATTTTACATGTTCTCCTTGCGTTCATGTGGGTTTTTGTCTGGGTGCTCCAGTTTACCCCACAGTCCAAAGACATGCAGTACAAGGGAATTGGGTTGGCTAAATTGTAGTGTATGAGTGTGTGTATAAAAGTTTCCCAGGGAGATGGGTTGCAGATGGAAAGACATCTGCTGCGTAAAACATATGCTGGATAAGATGGCGGTTCATTTTGCTATGTTGACCCCAGAATAATAAAAGGACTAAGCCGAAAAGAAAATGAATGATCCTGGACCATCATCACTTAAATACAGAGTAAATTCACTAGTGTTGATCCTGCACCATCATCATCACTTAAATACAGTGTAAATTCACTAGTGTTGATCCTGCACCATCATCATCATTTAAATACAGTGTGAATTACCAGAGCCAATGATGTAGTGGGTGGTGTGTTGACACATGGCATGGGGTGTACATTGAGACCTAAGAATGAGACCTGAATGATCCTGGACCATCATCACTTAAATACAGTGCAAATTCACTATTGTTGATCCTGGACGATTATCATTTAAATAAAGTGTAAATTCAGTATTGTTGACCCTGGACCATCATTATTTAAATACAGTGTAAATTCACTATTGTTGATCCTGGACCACCTTAAACAGTTAATTACAGTGTAAACTGGCTAAAGTTGATTCTAGACCATCACTATCATTTATGTACAGTGTAAATAGGCACTCCAAGTGGCATAGTGGTTAGTGTGCCAACGCTTGGCACTCTTGTATTCATGGCAACTTGAGTTTGAATCAATCTTCCAAGTCTTTTAGCGACCCTTCCACTGTTTCAGCTTTAATAACTTTCCACTCTATAGTCTCTACTCTCCTGTCAACGAAAGTCAAAAATTTAATGAAAAAATACAGTGTAAATCCACAAATTTTAATCCTGGACGATTATCATTTTAATACAGTTGAAATTCACTAATGTTGATCCTGGACCAGCGAAGCAATGGCGCAATAGGTAGTGCTGTCGCCTCACAGCAAGAAGGTCGCTGGTTCGAACCTCGGCTCAGTTGGTGTTTCTGTGTGGAGTTTGCATGTTCTCCCTGCCTTCGTGTGGGTTTCCTCCAGGTGCTCCGGTTTCCCGCACAGTCCTAAGACATGTGGTACAGGTGAATTAGGTAGGCTAAATTGTCTGTAGTGTAATTGTGTATGAGAGTGAATGTGTGTGTGGATGTTTCCCAGAAATGGGTTGTGGCTGGAAGGGCATCCGCTGCGTAAAAACTTGCTGTATAAGTTGGTGGTTCATTCTGCTGTGGCGACCCTGGATTAATTGATTAAAGGGACTAAACTGACAAGAAAATGAATGAATGATCCTTGACCATCATAAACATTTAAATACAGTGTAAATTCAATTTTGTTGATCCTGGACCATCATCATTTAAATACAGTGTAAATTCACTATTGTTGATCCTGGACCATCATAAACATTTAAATACAGTTTAAATTCCCTATTGTTTATCCTGGATCATCATGAACATTTAAATACAGAGTAAATTCACTATTGTTGATCCTGGACCATCATCATTTAAATACAGAGTAAATTCACTATTGTTGATCCTGGACCATCATCATTTAAATACAGAGTAAATTCACTATTGTTGATCCTGGACCATCATCATTTAAATACAGTGTAAATTCACTATTGTTGATCCTGGACCATCATCATCTTCATTTAAATCTAATGTAAATTCACTAATGTTGATCCTGGATCATCATCAATTAAATACAGTGTAAATTCAATAATGTTTATCCTGAACCATCATAAACATTTAAATACAATGTAAATTCACTAATGCTGATCCTGGACCATCATCATTTAAATACAGTGTAAATTCACTATTGTTTATCCTGGACCATCATCATTAAAATACAGAGTAAATTCACTAATGTTTATCCTGGACCATCATCATTTAAATGCAGTGTAAATTCACTATTGTTGATCCTGGACCATCATCATTTAATAACAGTGTAAATTCACTATTGTTAATCCTGAATAATTATCATTTAATAACAGTGTAAATTCACTATTGTTGATCCTGGACCACC